TCAATCAAGAATACTGACACACATAATGGGCACTGGAAGTTAGGTATGACTAACTGTGGACCCAAAATACATGTGGTAGTTCAGTTTGTGTGTCAACTTGGCTGGGCCTGGTTGAGTGACTGGGCAGCTGATGGTAGTTATTCCCCATGATGAGACTGGCAATCAACTCCATGGTGGGATCTACCACAAGCAGCTGAGTAGCTGCCTTTGGGATGTGGACTGCTTCCTGTATATAAGGAGAAGCTTTGAGAATGGTTTCTAGCCTATGGTACACTTGAACCCTGCATGTAGCCATGTCATTGCTCAGCAGCCTGTCATGCTCTGCTGACCTTGGGACATACAATGGACTTAAGTTAATGGCTGCCATGTGGTTTGGTAACATCGGGACTGTGCCTTTTTACTTGTCAACCTTGGCGCTTTTCAGCCTCAGCAGCCAGCAGCTGTCTGAGTGAAGAAATGCCTCTAGCTCCAGGAGCAGGAGGCAGAGTTGGACCCCAAGGTTGAGGGGCTTTCACCCAGCCCCTAGAGCCTGGCACTTTGAACTTGGACTTAAAGTCTCCAGACTGTAAGAGAATAAACTCCTGTTTGTTAAGGCCATTCCATTTGTGGTATATTCTTGTCAGAGCGGCACTAGGTAACCAGAACAATACAGAAATGGGAGCAAGCAGTAAGGATTACCCCCTCCAGGCTTAAAAGCACATGACCAGCCATCTAAGGTGTAACTATTGGTCTCTCCTCATCCAGAATAAAGAAGAGGGAAGAAAATCAAAGATGCAAGGAAACAATTAGTCCAAAGGACTAATGGAGCATGTGAACCCCAGTTCCATGACTCTGAGGCCAGAAGAACTAGATGGTATCCACCTATCACTTCTGATCACTCCTCACAATAGGAGGTCCTGGATAGCGGGGGAAGAAATATGGAACAAAACTCAAAATCACACCAAAAAATACACACACACACACACACACACACACAAAACAGGCTTACTTCTCTGATAAAGACTGGTAGAACCCTCAAGACCATGACCCTTAGACACCCTTCAAGCCTAGAACTGAACCCACCCCTGTGACTCAACTTTTAGCCAAAGGACAGGCAGGCCCATAAGGTGAACATAACACCAGGGAGGTACACACTCCTTAGAACAATCAACCATATGAGATCAAAAGAGCAACATTTGTCCAGAGATAAAGCTCAGAAGGCAGGAAGGGACAGGAAAGAGGATCAAATGGAAACAGTGACCATAGGCAGGAAGTCAGAGAAGTGCTATTGCATTATGGAAATTAAAATCAATGTGTATGAACTGGTGAGTGGAAAAGCAATTTGCTCTGTAAATTTTCACACAAATAACAATAAAAAGTTAAATTAAAAAAAAAAAAAAAAAGGATTCTCCTATCCACTGCTAAGAATTTGTGCTTACAACCTTTTTATGTACTTGCAAAACAGTTGTTTTACACTGTTGTATTTTTTACTGTTTTACACTGTTGTATTTACCCTCTTGTATTTTGGGACAAAGGAGCTCTGGTACCGTAGTGCCTAAGGCATATGACTGCTAACCAGAAGGCTGGCAGTTCAAACCCACCAGCCACTCCTCGGAAGGAAGACGGGGCAATCTACTTCCATAGTGATACTTCCTAGGAAACCCAAGGAGGGGTCACTGTGAGTCGGGTCCAACTCAACGGCACATAACAACAACAACATTTTGGGACAAAGTTAACATGCCTCCCCAGACTACATCTTTAGGGAAGATGTCATTCCTAGCAGCTTTTGGTAAGATCCTGGAAATGACTTAGCTTCAGCCAAGGTCTGAACACAGGAGAAAACTCTGCCTCACTTAGGCCCTTTCTGCTGGTAGCAATCCAAGATGACAGAGAGTCAAGTAATCATTAACTACAAATTTTAAATTCTTGGCCCCAAACCAAAGATAACACTAGAAAATGTATGAAAAAAGAAGGAAACCACAAAAGAGAAGTTTGGAACCAAGAGAACTGAAGGAAGCCTGATTCTCCAAGTCACTTCTGACATATACTCACTTCCTGAAAAAGAGCTAAGAGATGGGATGAAGCTAGGCATGAGGCACAGATTAGACATGCCTTAATCCTCACTGCCGTCGAGTCTTTCTGATTCACAGTGACCTTTCCTTGGATTTCCAAGGTGGTATCTCTATGGAAGTAGATTGCCCAGTCTTCCTTCTGCAAAGTGGCTGGTGAGTTTGAACCGCCAGCCTTCTGGTTAACAGTCAAACGCCTTAGGCACTACACCACTAGAGCTCCCTTGTTGTTGTTGTTATGTGCCGTTGAGTCAGCCCTGACTCATAGCGACCCCTTCTTGGGTTTCCGAGGCAGTATCACTACGGAAGTAGGATTGCCCAACCTTCCTTCCGAGGAGTGGCTGGTGGGTTTGAACCGCCAGCCTTCTGGTTAGCAGTCAAGTGCCTTAGCCACTATGCTACCAGAGCTCCCTAGAAGTAAAAAATAAGCAGAAAAATTAAGGTTGAAAGATAGGCAGCGCACCAAGGTCTACTTCCAAGAAAGAAGCCCCCAGGCTAATGCCTAGAGTCAAGGATCAACCCAGAGTGGAAAATGAGTTGAACTTCCCTAGAAATGTTGGCAAATAAAAACCTATCATTGCTCCAAAAGCAGTCTCCAAGCTCTCTAACCCACATCACCATCAGAATTTAGGATGCTAAAATAATATATCCCCATTAGAAAAATCTGACCCAGTATCCTCTGAATCATGTCCATGGAATTATATGAGGCAACAAAGAACAGACCCAATAGTAGCCAGATACATAAGGCAATGACCTATATCAACCATCTACACATGCCTATAATATTGAAGGAAAAAAAAAAAAGTCTAATCATGGAATTAACTACTACTACCTAGGGCATTTGACTGCTAACCAGAAGGCTGGAGGTTCAAACCCACCAGCCACTCCTTGGAAGGACAGTTGGGCAATATACTTCCATAGTGATACCGCCTCAGAAACCCAAGGAGGGGTCGCTATGAGTTGGGTCAGACTCCACGGCACATAACAACAACAGCACCTAGTTGCCACTGAATCAATCCCTACTCATAGTGACTCCATATATGTCAGAGTAGAACTGTGCTCTATATGACTTTCAGTAGTTGATTTTTTGGAAGTAGATCTCCAGGCATTTCTTCTGAGGTACATATGGCTGGACTCAAACTTCCAACCTTGCAGTTAGCAACTGAGCACAGTAACCATTTGCACCCAGGGGCTCCAATCATGGAACCAACCAAAAAACAAAGCCATTGGCATCAAATCAATTCTGACTCATAGCAACCCTATAGGACAGAGTAGAACTGACTCATAGGGTTTCTAAAGCTATAAATCTTATGGAAGCAGACTGCCTCATCTTTCTCTTGCAGAAAGGCTGATGGGTTTGAACCACTAACCTTTTGGTTATCAGCCAAATGTTTTAACCACTGTGCCACCAGAGCTTCTAATCATGTAACAGTACTGGCTAAATACAATGGCCTCAGTAACATCCAAGACTACTGTCAACCTAACATCCAAGGTATGTCACCAATTTTCTACAAAGAGACAGGGAAAATAGGAAAAGCATTAACTGTGGGAAATAAATGTTGGTTAATGAGATAGTTCATAAGCAAGGAGTAGGTGCAGTGTATTTCTACTAAATAGCACAGAATCATTTGGGAGCAGAGAAAAATTCCCAATGCTGTATTATAAAGAAAGGCCTGCTGCTTACTTACTAAGGAGAGAAAAATGTGATTTGCCCAGACCTACTCCATTCTTCCTTCATTTGTATTAATTGCCATGAGAAAGCCTGTTGTCGTTGTTGTTGTTGATTGCCGTCGAGTC